TTACAAATGATTAGGGTCCCCTTTATATAATAGGGGAACCCTAAATAAGGTATATTTCTATTTACAGTAAGGAATATTCTTGATACATCTGTCTAACCGCCTAGTACGGAATCGTACAATCCCATTCCGGGATTTGCGCCATGATCTTGGCGACGTGGCAGGAATCTAGCTCATTCTGTTACAAATCCATAACGGTACAATTTTGGAGTCGAGTATACTTGACTTCGGTATTCCCCGCACTCCTATCTTTGGGCATTGCATTCCGTCCTCGAGCTCGAGTCTAGTCTATCGACCTCGAACTCGAGCTTACTTGAACTCGGACCTAAGGCGATCCCTCGATCCTGGGAAATCGGGCGTGTCTGATTTTGACCGTATACAAATAAAAATCTATTTCTTAAATAAATTTTATAATTTAAAAAATCAAGGTCTACAAAAATTTCTTCAACAAATCTCTCCATAGAGTACAGATTACAAACCCTTTCGACTCTCTCTTTCGTTTAATTTTATGTTTGCTTTTATTAGTAAAATTTCTATTTTTCTCTTTTTTATATTAATTTGATATATAAAATTATTGTTCGATTACAAGTATTTTTATTGTTTAACTAAATATTGCGTAGTTTAATTAAAAAAGTTGGTACGCCATTCATCAGAAAAAAATTTATTGACTTGTTTAAAGTTTGAACATAATTCCTAGCTACGCCATTTGGACATAGAATCTATCACTATTACAGTACAAAACAACCACCCAAGGAAAGTCTCAGCTGTATACGACGATAGAGAATTTAAGTCTTCGTTATTCTTTTGTCAGGTTTTATGCGTTGGATATACAAGTCCCAACCCTAGTTCGTCCTAAATTATTTGACTTTATGACATCAAATTATGTTGGGCTATGACATGGGCAGTAACAATCAATATCAACAAGAATATGGTATATTTAGTGGAGAAAAGTTGAGTCATGAGTTCAGTATCTAACAAATTTTGAACCATGCGTTACTGACCAACAAACTTTTTTCGATGGAAGTTGATTATATATATCTTTTTTTTTTTTCTATGAGGGTTTCTTTTTGTCTCGTTTTAATATAAACCAGAAAATGAAAAGGGTAGACATATGACATATTCTTCATATATCTTATGTTGTGAGAAATGTATGTTTGAACCCCATTGATTAACCACTTGAATCCTTACCTGTGGCTACATTATTTTATTCTTGTCGTTGAAAAAAATGGCCATTTTGGCATCTATAGGCATGTTTTCTCTGGCCTATATTTTATCACCTCATGAGTCCACATGCATAGCATAATCCTCGGTGTTTGTTTTAAAAGCAAAAAGTGCTCGCATCTTTCAGCATGTTTAATGGCTTAGGTTTAGTTCCTTTTTCCCTTCCTATCTCTCCAACCCAAGTTTCCATAGAAAGTGTTGAGATTCCTTCTTTAGGAATCAAGAACTAAGATAAAAGGTGGGTGGGGGTGGGGGGGGGGAGGGGGGTGGTCCCCTAGTAAAGATACACATAATTGGTTTGGGTAGATATAGCATCTAAAATCTCAAGTTGATTAGTTGCTTTTGGGTATTTCACGTGATATACTGTTGAAACGAAACTATGCCATTTCATATTTTGTTGCTCCTATTTCTTTGTTAAACCCAACGACTAAGTTAGAAATTTTCCTAAGGGTGTTCAAATTTGAAAGAAACAGAAAAATTTTCCAACAAATGATGTTCAATATATGTTATATACCTCTAAAACGTAATATTTTATTTATGTACACAGTGTAATTTTTTCGACAAGGGTGGTCAATTGGCCACCCTTATGACCATGTGGCTTCGCCACTGGTTAAACCTGCTCCTATTCCTAAGAGTTGTTTGATCGGATATTATATTTTATTTAACTAATTATAATTTTTTCACTTAATATTTAAAATCACAATATTTTAACAAAGCAATATGTACTTTAAGATGTCTAGTAATAAAATATTTGATATTTCTCAGATAAACGGTTGTTTTCTACCTTATATAAAGCGTATTTACCTGTTCATAAAAAAATATTGCTTTAAGTTTTTATAATTAATCTATATTTTTGAAACAAAAAAAACATCTAATCACTACACGATAGAGCAATTGCACTATATTATATTTTTACAAACAAACCGTTCTCATGAAATTATTATGACGTGTAAACACTACTCTATGAAAATTTTAGTAATTACACATGCAGCCTAGTTATTAATTACATTATGGTGTCCAAACACAACCTCTTTATTTGGCGTGGGAGAATGGGGAGATTAGAAGTGATCTTTTCCTCTTTGAATGATATATGTCATGTTTTAAGCTTTTGTCTCTCTCTTGATTAATATATGATTATAATCACTCCGCAGTACAAGCAGATCCAAGATTTTAACTTGACCTTTAAGGTTATTTAATGGTAAACTTACTAAATCTATAAATTTATGAATTTAGATCCAAGAAGATATGGAAGCTACGCGTCAAAAAATGGATCAAATGTCGCAAGAATTTCAAGCAACTCAGGCTTTGATCCAAAAATTGTTAAAAAAGAAAAGCAAGAAAGGAGTTGCAGTGGAGTACTTTGAGAATCTGAGGAGACTGATTCTGAATAGGCTATTTGAATATTTTAGAGTTGAAGTTAGAGACATGTTTGATAGTTGGTTTAATTTTTATAAATGTTACTATTCGTTTTGTAGTAAATATTGGATTTGGATTGTTATATTAGGTTTTTGGATTGTTATATTAGATTTTTGGTTAATTGTTAGGTGTCTGATTGGCTGTTTTATTTGGCAGGTGGTATAATTAGAAATACGGTAGAGTTCTGCATAAAAATGCCGAAACTTGCGACTAAATCAGTCATAAAAATGCCGAAACTTGCGACTAAATCAGTCGCAAATTTCACCAAGAATTACCCAGATTTGCCGCTAATTCAGTCGCAAAATTAAAAATTCCTAAGAAAATTTAATTAAGATTTGCGACTAAATCAGTCGTAAATGGAGAATTTTTGAAAATTTTAATTAATTAATAATTAATATTTGCGACTGAATCAGTCGCAAATGCAGAATTTCTAAATTTTTTAATTAATAATAATTTAATATTTACGACTGTTTCAATCAGAACAACTAATTAAAAACTAATTTTATTTTTAAATTTTCCAACGGAATCAGTAGAAACTTTTAATTTGTATTTGTTTTTTTATTTCTGGTCAGCGACTGAATCAATCGCAAATTTTGCGACTGATTTGGTCGCAGATCGCTTAAATAATTTTTGAGTTTGCGACTGAATCCGTCCTGACTGATTCTGTCGCAAATATATTGCGACCACGTGTTCCGACTGACACTTTTCAGTTGAAAATCTGTCGAAAAACACGATTTCGGACTGATTTGACTGTCGCAAATTCGCTGTTTTTTAGTAGTGAATATTTTTCAATTTACATATTCAAAACTTATGTTCCGGGAAAAAGTCATTTTAATTTGTCCAATGAGTCAACCGTAAAGAATTTTATAACAAGAAAATAAATAAATAGTAATAATAATAATATATGGAAATTGACAATTGGCAATTGGCAAAAGATCAAAATCTTAGTAGGATATGAAGTATCAAAATCAAACCTTGGACTGGTAGTGATTTCCCCATATCTAGGAATAAGAATGACAAAATGCCAAAAGCACATATACAGAATATCCAGATGGCCAAAATGTGAAGACTTAAAACATCTGGTGGAGAGGCAAAGAATCATTGCTTTTCGTCCAATATCACAACTTTGATAATCCGTAAGAGTAAAATTCTCACTTGGCACTTTTTTCTTTTTTCTTTTTAAATTTCTTCCCTTTTGTTTGACCAAAAAGTTCTAATTCTTTTACTAAACTAATTAATGATGAAATGAAGGATAAATCTTAGTTAAAAATAATAAATTCTAGATCAAATATTGTAGGAAATCGGTAAGATAAACGACGTTTGGTAGCATTAAATAGCACGTTTGTACTCAATGGATACCAATATATATGATAACATGAACATGCAATAAATATAGATAATGGCAATAGATGTAATAAGAAAGAATCTACCACCCTATTATTATATGATTTGGATGGTTCTTTCTCCTGACAACAATGTGGAAAGATGAGAAGTGAAGATGGTTACGGAATCTTTGGATCTTGTGAACAAAGATTAAATAACGCGTGCTTGAATAAGATAATTAGTGAACAAGACAACTTTTATATATTCTCTCGAGTCAACCTTTTACAATGTGCCCTTATCAGAAAAGTGAAGATCCCCACTTTGTTCTCTATCTCTTACTATTTGTAAGGGGTATTTCCAAGAAACCCTAAAAAGTACAAAATGAGGAATATTGCTTATGTCTATTTATAATTTATCCTACCATTATCTCTTTATTCGAGCTGCTCGTTCTTGACAATAGCCTTCCCAAGGACGGCCTCCCGCTATTACGCCGTGGTCGACCTCGTCCTCGATCCTGTTTATCTACCGTTACCAAGTCGCCAAATTTAGACCAATACAGTTAGTCCCTCCGCTTGTTGAGGTCATGGTCTTGCACATCCTTAGTAAGCGGACCCGGTTTGCGTCCATTGAGAAATTTGGTCGTGTTGATTAGGTCGAATCGGCCGAGGTCGAGAAAATGGCGCAACCACTGGGGCTGCGGTTGGTGTGGCTATCATGAGGTGACGTCATGGCCACGCGCGCCATCATTACGCGTCTTTCCGATGCAGCGTCTGTGCGTCTGTCGCTTCGATTTTGGTGCCATTGACAGTCCTTTGCTCCCCTATGCGCGTCTTCTGAAAACACGGCGCTACAAGCGATGAACGATGCAGAGTTGTCGTTGGGTATATCCGGCATGGCTCTGCGAGTAAGTGCTTTTTAATGTTGGGATTTATTTCGCATGTGTAATTTGCCCATACTGACTCCTTTCTTTTGCATGTCAGACTCTTATTATGGGGATCTAACGTGATTGGAGGGAGGAGCGAAGGACGATCATTTTTAAGAAGATGACTTCCAAATATGCGGAGTACCGTACTAAGCACCAAACTCTGGCCGACTTCCTCAACCAGGATGGTGAATTTCAGTCGCTTCGTGATGGGCTTAAACAGAAAGATGATGAGTTGATGAAGAAAGATGAAGAGCTAAGGGAGAGGGGTGATGAGCTAATGAGAGCCATCGGTAGGTGCAACGAGCTTGAGGCAACTCTAAAAGCCAAGGAGGACGAGCTCGAGGTGAGCAAGGGGGTGATGGCTGAGAACACTGACCTTCAAATGCAGGTGGCATCCTTAACTGCCAAACTCGGGCAAAGGGAGGAGAAGGCTGTCGATCTAAGGGGTGAGTTGAGCGCCAAGGTCGAAGAATTGAATCGTGCCGAGAAAGGAAGAATGGCCGCTATGGCTGAAGTGGCGGCCTTAGAAGATGCCCTCCGCGTTTGTAGGTCCGAGCGGGATAATGAGGTAGAGACATCGGCGCTTAAGGTGGCGAGGTTAGAAGAGCGGATGCAGGGTCTGGAGGCAGAGTTGTCTGGATTGAACGAGCAGGCCGTTGTCTTGAAGGATGAGGAGGTACGACGGCAGTCACAGTCGTCTAAGTCTCATACTTCTGCTAATCCCGGTGTGCCGCGGGAGTTGTATGAGATGTGGGTTCACGCCGAGGCTCAACTTGACGTGTATAAGTCTTTGAAGGCCATCGGTAAAATTTCCGAAAAAGAACTCGAGGGCGTCCGTGTCAAGGCACGTGCGGCCTGTGAAGCTTATGGTTACGCCCCTGGTACGCCTGGTGGGGATGAGGTTGACAACGATGCGGATAGGCTCGCCTCCAACTCTTGGTATGATGACGAGTACGCCGATGGGGGTGATGTGGCGTAAAGCAGTTGTACTTAGTTTTTGTTTTGCTATGCTGTTTTTGTGAGGGCATCTTTGAGCCCTTTGTAAAAAGTATTGTAACTCAACAGTTGAAATGGAACAGTTCCCTTTTTGCTATGTATTTCTTGATTTTCATTCTCTTTTCTTTTTGCTATGTGGGGAAGTCCCTGATTTTTTGATGAGATCGACGTTCAACGCGTTCGAACATTGAAGATTTCGAACAAGGTCGAATGTAAGGTAATTCGAGCGAGGTCGAATGTAAAGTAATTCGAACAGTTCCCTTTTTGCTATGTATTTCTTGATTTCCATTCTCTTTTCTTTTTGCTATGTGGGGAAGTCCCTGATTTTTTGATGAGATCGACGTTCGACGCGATCGAACATTGAAGATTTTGAACAAGGTCGAATGTAAGGTAATTCGAGCGAGGTCGAATGTAAGGTAATTCGAGCGAGGTCGAATGTAAGGTAATTCGAGCGAGGTCGAATGTAAGGTAATTCGAGCGAGGTCGAATGTAAGGTAATTCGACCGAGCGATGTCGAATGTAAAGTGATTCGACCGAGTGATGTCGAATTTAAAGTGATTCGAGCAAGGTCGAATGTAAAGTGATTCGAGCGAGGTCGAATGTAAAGTGATTCGAGCGAGGTCGAACGTAAAGTAATTCGAGCGAGGTCGAACGTAAAGTGATTCGAGCGAGGTCGAACGTAAAGTAATTCGAGCGAGGTCGAACGTAAAGTGATTCGAGCAAGGTCAAATGTAAAGTGATTCGAGCGAGGTCGAATGTAAAGTGATTCGAGCGAGGTCGAATGTAAAGAAATTCGAGCGAGGTTGAATGTAAAGTGTAAACAGACTTGGTGGAGAGTAAATATGCTACTTTATTTCATTCATTGGAGAATATTACATGTTTTTGTTTGTTCCATACATATATTGGAGAAGTTCCCATGTATCCAGTCCCTTCATCGTTCGGCCTGGAGAAGTAGTCGGCAGGCGAGGCGATGAATTATACTTGAACTTCGAGACGTCCCCTTTATCGCCTCATTAAAAACCTCCCCGAGAAAACCCAATTGGGACAAAACCCGGGTGAGGGATAAAGAGTACGACGTGGAGGGCGTCCGTTTGTAGAGGTTGAAGTATTTGAGCTGGGCGACGTTCCAATTGTTTTGTAGTAGCTTTCCCTCCATTGTTTCTAGTTGGAATGATCCTTTGTTTGCTGCTGCCGTGATTTTATATGGCCTGTACCAATTGGTTCCTAGTTTGCTTTCTCTTGAATCTTTGCTCGCTTGTGTTTTGGCCTTGAGTACATAGTCTCCGACTTTGAGTGGTCGTACTTTTGCTTTTTTTTTGTTGTACCGTTCTGCTTGTTGCTTTTGGGTTACCATCCTTATGTAAGCCATGTCTCTTCGCTCCTCCGCTTCGTCGAGGTCCTTTTTTCTGTTCTCGTAATTGCTTGGTCCGCTTTTGTTGGGGTATCTCAAACTGGGTTGCCCGACCTCGACTAGTATCATGGTATCCGTCTCGTAGACTAGTGAATATGGCGTTTCTCCAGTGCGTGTTTTTGGCGTGGTGCGGCATGCCCACAGTACCTCTGGTAGTAGTTCGGGCCATAGTCCCTTGGTGTCCTCAAGCTTTTTCTTCAAGATATTCAGTATTGTTTTGCTGGAGGATTCGGCCTTGCCGTTACCAGTAGGGTGATATAGCGTGGAGAGTATTCGCTTGATGTGCCATTTTCGAAGAACTCAGCGGTCTTCTTTCCGGAGAATTGGGGTCTGTTATCACAACTAATTTTGTTGGGGATGCCGAAGCGGCACATGATGTTTCTCCATATGAATGTGATAACTTCTTGTTCGCGTATTTGGGTGAACGCACATGCTTCTACCCATTTGGAAAAGTAGTCAGTTAAAACCAAAAGAAAACGTACATTACCTCGCCCTGCTGGGAGGGGTCCGACGATGTCCATTCCTCATTTGATGAACGGCCATGACGATGTAATAGAGTGGAGGTGTTCGCCTGCTTGGTGTATCATAGGAGCATATTTCTGGCACTGTTCGCACTTCTTGACGTAGTCGACAGCTTCCTTCTTCATTGTAGGCCAATAATAATCCGTCCGAATGAGGCATCTAACAAGGGCCCGATTGCCGGTATGGGCACCAGAGTGGCCTTTGTGTACTTCCTCGAGGACACGTCTTGTTTGGTTTGGCCCTAGGCATTTTGCTAAGGGGCCTCCAAACGTTCTTTTGTATAGGTCGTGGTTTATGATGCTATACCTGGCCGCCTGCATTCGAAGCTTCTTGGCTTCCTTTTTATCTGATGGGAGCACTCCCTCCTGCAAATATGTTATAATATGGTTGCGCCAGTCCCAAGTCAAATTTACAGAGTGTACCTCAAGTTGGTCTATTGACGAATGGAGGACGGTGACTACGTTTTCCTTTGTGATGTTTTTGGTGGTCGCTGCTAACTTGGCGAGACCGTCTGCCTCGATGTTTTGTGCTTGAGGTATCTGATCGAGTCGACATTCGTCGAATTCTGGTAGCAGTTTATGAATTTCTTCCTGTTACCTTCGTAGCCCCTGCTCTTTGATTTGGAAAGTCCCTGTGACTTGGTTGACAACAAGTTGCGAGTCGCATCTAAGGACGACTCATCGCGCTCTGTATTTGAGAGCTAGCTTTAATTCTGCAATTACGACCTCACACCCAGCCTCATTGTTAGTCATATCAGGGCACCATATGGATTGGCGGATGACTTCACCTGTTGGGACTTCGAGTACTAGTCCCAGTCCAGATCCTGATGCGTTGGATGCGCCGTTGGTGTATAGGACCCATAGGTTGGGTAGACTGGGCGAGGTACGAGAAGTTCTTGCTCGACCTCAGTCATTATTTTGGCACTAAAATCGGCGACGAAGTCGGCGAGTACCTGCAAGTTTATCGCTATTCGCGGCTGATATGTTATATCATGCTCGCTCAATTCTATGGCCCACTTGGCCAATCTCCCCGATAGTTCGGTTTATGCAGGATACTTCATAGGGGAAAAGTCTTTACCACCGATATGGGGTGACATTGAAAATAGGGTCTAAGCTTCCGTGAAGCTACAACCAATGCCAAGGACAATTTTTCGTGGTGAGGGCACCTCGTTTCGGCGTCGACCAAAGTTTTGCTAATATAATAGATCGGAGATCGCGTACCTTTATCTTCACGGACCAATATTGCGCTTACTACAACCTCTGATACAGCTAAGTATATCAGGAGGCGTTCGCTGGGTTCTGGTTTGGTGAGTAGTGGGGGCGAAGACAAGTACGCCTTTAGTTCTCTTAGGGCCTCAATGCATTCTGCATTCCATTGGAGCCCGTTGTCCTTTTTGAGCATGTTGAAGAATCTGTAGCATCTGTCGGAGGATCCTGAGACGAACCTCGATAGGGCAGCTATGCGGCCTGTCAATTTTTGCACCTGTTTCTTGATGGTTAATGCTTCAGGTATTCCCTCGATGGCCTTGATTTGATCTGGGTTGACCTCGATGCCTCTTTGTGACACCAAAAAGCCGAGAAACTTGCCCGAAGTTACACCGAAGGCACGTTTTTTGATGTTCAACTTCATGCCGTATTGCCTTAATATTTTGAAGACTTCCTTCAGGTGATCGATGTGGTATTCCTTCCTTTTTGATTTGACCAACATGTCGTCTATGTAAGCTTCCATTGTTTTGCCGAGTTGGTCGTTGAACATCTTGGTTACCAATCTTTGATAAGTTGCTCCGCGTTCTTTAACCCAAATGGCATGACTCGGTAATAGTACGTTCCTTGATGGGTGATGAAAGTAGTCTTTTCCTGGTCCTCATCCTCCATGAGGATTTGGTTGTAACCTGAGTAGGCGTCCAAAAAGCTTAACAACTCGTGCCGTGCTGTTGCGTCAATGAGCTGATCGATATGAGGCAATGGAAACGAGTCTTTCGGGCAGGCCTTGTTTAAGTCCGTGAAATCCACGCACATCCGCCACTTCCCATTTTTCTTTTTCACCATGACCACGTTGGCGACCCATTGAGGGTATTTTGACTCCCGGATGGAGCTGTTAGCGAGTAGCTTATCCACCTCATCGCTGACGGCTTCGTTGATTGCGACATTGAATTTTCTCCTTACTTGTCATACTGGAGGGTAAATGGGATTGACGTTCAATTTGTGTGTGGCAACGTCTTTCAGGATTCCTGGCATATCTGCGTGGGAAAAAGAAAACAGAACGGCGTTATTAGTTAAAAACTCATGAAATTTACCTGGCTCGGAGAGTTTATGGCCTATGTCAGCCTTTTTGCTATTTTCGCTGCTGTCTAATTGGACGGGATCAAGATCTTCTACTGTTGACCCTGCGGATTCCACGACGCTGGGGTCCTTGATAATGTCTTTTTACTCGTTGAGTTCCGACCCCGACTTGGGTAATTACTATGCTTCCGAGTCTGTCCTTTTTAGCTGTTGAGTGTGCGTACAATCTTGGGCGATGCGGTAGCATTCTTGGGCTGTGCGCTGTTCATCTCTGATGCTGAATATCCCCCATAGAGTAGGGAACTTGATTACTTGATACAAGCTGGACGAGATGGCTCTCATTGCGTGTATCCATGGTCATCCTATGATGTCGTTGTAAGCTGTGTCTTGGTTCATGACATGGAATGTTATTTCTAGGGTGACGCCCCCAGCCAGAACGGGTAGTGTTATTTCTCCTGAAGTTCGTTGGACTGCATTGTTAAAACTCGTTAGTGTTATGCAGCATGGTACTATTTTGTCCTCGAGTCGCATTTGTGCAAGAACTCGAGAGTGAATAATACACGCGCCGCTTCTGTCGTCTACCATTATTCTTTTTACGTTAGTATCTGAAATACGCAAAGTAATGACAAGAGCATCGAAGTGAGGAAAAGTCAAACCGTTGGTATCTAACTTATTGAAGATGATACTTTCTCCGAGGTCATCATACCGTTCGTGGGTGAATGATCGCTTGAGTTTGTGCGTGGTGGTAAACTTCACGTGGTTGATTGC